GTATACGAAGCTGAGAAATTTATTTAAAAAATGATAAATTAATAGCATGATTATGATATTTTATTTAATACCTTTTATAGTAAATTTAAACTTCCTTTCATATTTTTAATTTGCTCTCTTTTTAATTGAATCATAATAATCAATTTAAATCAGCATTATCCTTCTTTGATATATTTGTAAGTCACGATATTTCCTGTTTAAGATTCAGGAAGCAATCTATTGACACATCCAAATCTTTTGTTTGCTAATTCTTAATCTAATCATCTATTTTACTATTGTACTACAAGTTTGATATCGGTTTTTTAAGAGTTTCTTAGCTTATCATATCATGAGTATGGAGTTCAGAAAATCTACTACTGATAACATAGGTGGAATTGAATTAGGCTCGCCTTTTTTGAAATAGTAAAATTTTAATATAAATATAGTTGATAGGATCTTTTAAAGTTTTGGGTAAAATAACAGAGATATTTATGATTAGGAAAATCAATGTTAGTGAAATAGGTAAGTAACCGATATTCTTCTGAGTATCATAATCCAAATCATAATTGTCTGTGAATATAATCATACAGTATGAAATAATTTGTAAAAATGCCTCATTGAGAATTTCTAAGTTATTCAGCCTTTCATTGTTGAAAGGTCTTTAAAGAATAAGATAAGTTTGCATCAGAATATTTAAAAGCACTTGCAATGTTATCTGCACTCCTTGGTTGTCACTTAATATAACAATTATCAAGGAATATAGAACTCTTCTAATAATAACTAAAGTCGTAAATATCATCCTTGAAGGCTTTATGTTCTCAAATATAGGAGAATATTTCTTTAGAGCTTTTTCTTTATTTTAGTTAATCAAGAATCTGTTTATAATATAACTAGACGCTATCAAGAGTAAGATCATGATGAAAAACTAAATAGAGATAATCTTTGAAACTATCCTTATTAAAGATGGGTTATTCTAAAATATTAAATCAGTATAATAATTACCTAAAAGTCCTAAATACTTGAGCAAATGACTAATTCAACTAAGGATTCCAAATAAAATCTATTAGTTAAAATCAATAATACTTACCTCAAATAGAATGAGAATAACATAGAGTCAAGTATTTTATCAGCAAATTTATAGATTCTAATAATGTCAAACTCTAATAAACGCACTTACTTATTATCATTGTTTAGAATAGTTTTAACAAGTTGTGCCATCAAGGTAATAATTAGGGATAGTAGATAAATATAGATTATTAAACCAATGTTTTGGAAAATATCTCTAGAGTTATAATTCATTTACTCAAAGAAATCATTATAAACATCATCTGAAAGATCATTTTAATCGCTTTATCCAAATAATTATTAATTTATAAGGTCTGCATCAATAAACTAAAAGCTAGAAACATCTATGATAAAACTATTAAATATAGCAAAATTTGAAGGAATGTTAATAGACATCAAAGGAATGTGACTTATCAACTGAAAAGCATTAACCATTCCCCATAAAAATTGCAAACTCTACGCCCTTTAATATTTAAAAATCTAAACTTACATCACAATATTTATCAAGAAATTAGAACCAACAATAGTGGACAGAGTAATCTTAACTGAATTGCCAAACTCCATCAAAATATCTCTAGCCTCTATATTTTTATCAAATGAATGCTTACAATTATCTATCTAGGGTGGGATTCTTCATTGCAAAATATTGTCTTTCAAAATATAACTTTTAGAACTCTTATCTAAATAAATCATGTTTTATTAGAATTAAATCTCTATCATATCCCAGTTCTATTAAAACGTAATTTGAATATATTACAGAAAGTTTAGAAATATTCTTTGAATTTTCGAATATCAATTGCATTTACACTAATTAGCTCATTGAATATGTAATATTAAAATTTTTAATCTCTATAGCATCTATAGACTATATCAATAATACTTAAAATGGTCTTATATCCATCAGCTTGTTATGAGTATCTTGGTTCAAAGATTTGCTAAATTTAATGGTGACTAATCCATTATTAGTAATCTTTGTTATCTTTGCTTTAATCTTATTAACTCCTATCAATTAAAAATCCTCATTATTTTTTTAATCTGTTTCTTGACTTTCAGACTAATCAATGTCTTCTTCTTCTATCTCAATTACTTTTATCTTAAAGTTATAAGTTATTTACCTCAATACAACATCTTTATAAATAAATTTATACTAAATTTCATTAAATCCAGCAACTTCTTTTATAGGAATTATTTTTAATTAATTGCCTTCCAAATTTGTAAATAATCTAAATTTATCACCTTTGACATTCACACTCTATGATTCTTATTAAGCACTTAATAATTCTTTAAATTAATAAAGGAGAATCTATCCTATTTATAAATCAAGTCTTATATTCTTTGTTTGTTTAAAGTATAAAGGAAATATATCATTTATATCTCTGTACACTATTAACTTAAAATTAAATTATCCTTTAGCCTTTTCTGTTAATTACCTACGAGAATCAAATTAAAAATCTACATTTAATTGATAAATCCCTCTAGTTATAGGATCATTGGAATTAACACTTAGTATATAATTACTGGGTTGATTATTCGAGGTTACAAGGATTAACTTAGGTTTAGGAAAAATATTGAATTTGTAAATAGGATTACTATAGCAAAGTTATTTTGGCTTTAATACAGGAATAGGTATCTTAATTTAAAGTGTTTTAGAGTTTAGCTAGAAATACTAAGTCTATATCTAGTTTTCTTTCAATTTCTGATCAAATTGAAAATCATCAAGACAAAACTTAACAGAAATTTACTTTTAATAAGTACTTAGAGGCCATTGATTACTATTAGTATCTTCTATACCATATGTAGCTTTAATAATGTGCCATCCTAGAAATCCTTAATTATTGAGTGAAGATAAAGCTATGGTGTACTAATAGATGCTATTTGCTGTTGTAGTTATTTTTTGTAAGTTTAATGGACTTGCACCCTCTTATTAGGTTTTAAAGTCTAGATAATATTTTGTACCGTAGTTATGATCATGGCACGAGTCATTTAAACCAAAATTTAGCTCTGCTACATTACAAGGGACTCCTAAATAGCAGACATCTTCTAGCTCGTTAATTACTTTCCAGGCTTTAAGTTTTCTATGATAATATAAAGATTATTCTCCTTTTTCAAATTAAGGACTTAAGAACAACTAATCCATTTAATCAGTGTATTAAAAGTTATCTTTACTTATAAAGTTAGCATCAGGCTGAAAAAATGAATCTATAGGAAAAATAGTCTATATTGAGCCAATTTACATTCTCTCAAGATATAAATTATCACCAACTTCGTTATCATTAGTTAGAATATTTTCGTAATTATTTGTAAATCGATACAAGATGCCTCTGCTTTTTGTTGGATTAGAAACTTCTTATAACGAGAAAAAGGCATCTAGTATTGATTTGTATTTTACTTAAATATTTACTGCTGAGCCAATTGTTCTAAAAAATAATGGATTAAGCATCTCACTCTCACTTTAAATTTGCTCCTAGAGCCAAATAGCCCAAATTTTATACTTGCTATCATTCACATCATAATAAGTATAGTGCAGAATTATATTAGTTGAATCGAAAACCTTAATTCCAATACATTCCAATTAAAATACCAGCTGATTATTTATGAACTATTTCAGTAATATTGTCGGTTTATCATCCATTGCCTAGTATGATAATATTCCCATCACTATTGTATTTGGAGAATTGCTGATCAAACACCCAAAGTAAGAATTACTGGAATCATAATCAGTTAGCTAAACACTAAGCTAAAGATTTTGAACACTATTATCTAATGGTGGATAAAAACTAAATGTCTCTAACTAAGGAGATTAACCTAGATCAATTTCTTTGAAAATAAATCCATATTTCCCTTCTTATTGCAGATTATTTTAAACTCCAAACAAAATGAGCAAACTATTCACAATTAAAGTAGCTGTAAATTTAGAGTTTGCACCAGTCTTTAAATGAAATTGGCTGATAGTATTTGCTGTAAGATCAATATATATTAGGCTCCATTGATAATTATCAGATATCCTATTTAACAAAATAATTTTATCGTACCTATCTATTTCAAAGATTTAATTATATGTTTGACTCATGATATTAGTTTCTAAAATCACAGCTTTAATTGGCGCACCGTAAATATCTATCTACAAAATCATATAATATTCGTTTCCCTAAAATGTATTAGGATTGTCATCATAACTTCTAATTAATGCCAATATGTTGGTTTCGAGATTTTAGAATTTTAAACTTATAGGAGAAAATAACTGTTATGATTGCGTTAAATATTAGTAGGAATTCAGCCACATAAATCAGTTTAGATTTGAATCATGACTGTATAGGCCAATCATTTGTTGAGAGTTAAAAGTTCCTGCTATACCCAAGTAATTTTTATCCAGATTCTATTCGATTAAGCTAATTTTTGAAGAGGCTTCATCTTTTTTACCAATATAAATTGGAGAACCTCTAATGTTAAAGCAAGCTGGTGTAGCATAAATCCTATTAATATTTAATTAAAGCTTATTACAGGAGATAGAGTATTAATTTTATTTGACTTACAATTCAGGAAGGCTAATAGCTAAAAACAAGAAGACAAATCTTATAGAAAACATTACTGTCATTTAAGGCTTATAATATATTAAGAATATAATGAAACTTAAAAATATCTTTATTCTCTCAAATTTACATCCAGGGGTTTTGGGGTTTTGGGG